GAGCTTTTAGGTCTTAGTTTAAAAAAACATGGATATATAACGGGTTTAAAATTTTAAACCTGAAATATAATCATCATATAATTATTAAAAAATATAATAATTAAACAAAAAATAATTAATAAACAAGATATTTATTCGTCAAAGTCTAAATCGTCATCATCGGTATGATCCTCATTAGACCTGACGTTTAAATCTAACATATTTACCACAGACGCCAAGTCAACACAGGGCTCCTGGTTACTTGGGGTCGGTGGTGGCGCCGATACGGGGATGGGTACCGCGGGAATGAGCACTACAGGCTAAATATTACGTAGTGATTGCCACCGCACCTGAAGCATCCAGATGCATCCCCTGGGCTTCCCGAGGAAGATCCTCTTCATCCATACCAATAGTTTGTACCATAGCCCCGCCTAGGGCTACGCGACCTGCGAGGCCGTCTGTCTCTAGCAGGTCTCGCTATATTGAGAATTTGCCCATATAGCCTGGAGGCCTCGAGTCTGGTTTCCTCCAGCCAGTTATCGGACTCCACCATGAATATAAATTCTGTGTATTTGTTGATCCAAAACAATTAGATTAAATTGAAAAATTTCCTACGCGAAAAATCGAAGTCATCTAAAAATAATAAAATAAAGGGAAGAGATACAAATTTACTAAATACTAAGTGTTTTAAAATTAATATCTATATGCTTTACTTTAATTTTTTTATATCGCGTTGGTTTTTTTTTTCTTCTATTTTTTATTGGTTATTTTATCTATTAAAATATGTAAATCGGACGTCTTTCTATCCACTAGAGATTTTATACTATTAAAAGATTCACAATCATTGTTCTACCATAAATTAAAAATTATTTTTTTATGTAATGGCCTATAAATATAAGCAAATAAATTATGTTTTAACTTTTTATTTAAATAATTAAGAAAAGAATTATATCCTTTTTCGATGCAATATGACTTTAATTGCAACATTTTATTATTATACATCTCATCATTCAGCGAAAATACAATTACTTCTTTGCCAAAGATATTACGCCGATATTTTACATCGACTTCCTCTTTGTCTCTCAAATATCTGATATTTCTTCTTACACGTGCACATAACATAATAAATGATTTGATTCTTAAAATTTATTTAAATAAAAAATTAGAACATAATTTATTTGCTTATATTTATAGGCCATTACATAAAAAAATAATTTATAATATATAGTCGAACAACGATTGTGAATTTTTTAATAGTATGTTAAAATCTCTAGTGGATAGAAAGTCGTCCGCTTTACATATTTTAATAGATAAAATAATCAACAAAAATAGGGTTCAAGAAGAAGAACTTGAACGGGCAGTAATTGGATTGGGCCAATTTTTGTTGTTGATAGTTATAAGATAATTATTTTGGGCAAAAATTGGGATAAATTAAGTGTTAAAGAACGTCGTCATCGTCTAATTTCAATGATGAAAGGGCAGATTTTAATTGAAGATGTTATAATTTCGACATGTGGTCAATTGAAATTGGTTAAACCTAAAGGGTCTAGAAAACCAACGCAATATAAATTAAAGTAAAGCATATAGATATTAATTTTAAAACACTAAGTATTTAGTAAATTTGTATCTCTTCCCTTTATTTTATTATTTTTAGATGACTTCGACTTTTGGTGTAGGATATTTCTTAGTGAAAATACAAATCAGGATAATTGACGGCTGGTGGAGTCTGATAACTGACTGGAGGATGTCAGACTCGAGGCCTCCAGGCTATATGGGCAAATGCTCATAGCGAGACTTTTTAGAGACAGACGGTCTCGAAGGTCGCGTAGCTCTAGACGGGGCTATGATACCAACAATTGGTTGGAGGAAGAGGATCTTCCTTAAGAGCCCCAAGGGACGCATCAGGATGTTTTAGATGCTGTGGCAATCATGTTAGATTTTGCCGAGAGCGTGAAGTGCGCCGTCCTAGCGATCCCTATCGGCGCCACCACCGACCCCAAGTAACCAGAAGCCCTGTGTTAACGGGATCGGTGGTAAATATGTTAGATTTAAACGCAGGTCTAATGAAGATCATACCGCTGATGACGGTTTAGACTTTGACGAATAAATATTTTGTTTAATTAATAAAAAAATTTTAATAATTATATAATGGTTATATTTCAGGTTTAAAATTTTAAACCCGTTTTATATCCATGTTTTTTTTAAACTAAGACCTAAAATCTCTTAAAAATGGTTGCCTCCACGTGGCTAAGGGCGGAAACATAAAAATGTGTAAATGAATATTTTCCACCTTTATATGGCTAGAACCATGACACAGAGAAAGTTTCTTTATTTAATACAGTTTCCAATTATTTTTTAGTAATATAATATAAATAGTTATTTTATAAGTTTTAATAATATTATTATCAAATATTTAAAAAGTTAAAATATTAATAAAGTAAAAAATTATTCAGGTAAACAGATATCGTCATCAAACTTATTACTTATTAATCATTTGCAAGACTACAATCTTGAATAACAACTCTATTTAACTAGTCTAGAAAAAGAGTACTAGTGGAAACTGGGGTTAGGTAAACCCCAGGACTAGGCAAACCATTTAATTTCATTTTAAAATTAAATACACCAGAAGGTTAAAATTTTATCCTAATATAGTTTTTATATGTTTACATCTAGACAAAAAATCTTTTGAAATATTTAATTATTAAAAATTTTGATGAAATTTCAAAAAAATTTTACATGACAGAATTTTAATTTTTATTAAAATATAAAATCATTTATATGTAAATTAAATTTTATAGCAAAGTTTAAACACTCTTTTATAATTTGGAAGTTTTATGAGTATTTATTATATCTAGATTATTTTAATCGTAATTTCTCAATTTAGAACTATCGGGGCTTGCTAAACCATACGCGTCACTTATGGCAGTTAATAATGAAAAAAATTTAAAATCTTGAAAAGGCAATTACATGGCTGTTTTATGATTGGTATTTAGGATTTATGCTAAGAAATCATAATCTCTCCTTAAGATTCTTATTTTTTTTATGTCCAAAATGTTTATTATATTAACCAAAATTTTTCAATTTTTATATATAAATAGTTTCAATTTGTTAGTATTATGATATTTTGAATAATAAAATCATTCTATATGTATCATTATTAATAAATAAAAATGCATTCCAATTTATTACGGCCTAAAAAATTAATGGTTTTGGAAGCCCCATGAGGTTTCCAATCATATATTTTTTTATATATCTAAAAATAAATCAACAGCTATAACCAATTTTATAAAAATCTTTCGACTAACCCCAATCTCCTTTATTCATTATTTTTGCCTTATAATTTAGAGATAAAAGATGACTTAGATTTTTGGAAGATAAGAGCATTGGATCTTCCTAAACTTTCAATATTAGCTAGAAAGATTCTGTGCGTTCCCTACGAGCACACCCAGCGAGCGTGTATTTTCCATACCTGGGCTCACTCTGAGAAAAGATCATTATGTCCTATAAATCTAAATAAAATAATCTTTTTTATACATGATAATTATAATTTAATAAAATCATTCAATTATAGTTATAAACATAATAAAGCATAAATTTTATTTTAAGTGTTTCCAATGAATTTAAAAAATTTTAGTTAGAAAAATATTTGATGCCGCCGCGCCATCGCCGCCAGCCTATCGTTTTAAAAAAAGAAACCCGCCGCCTACAATGCTGTCGGTGCAAATGTCTAAATATAATATATTAAAATAAATGATTATAAATAATTATTGGATTTCAGTAATAAAATATTTTTAAAATTTTGTTTACTAAGGCATCCTCGTTTATCTTTAAAGGCATTTTTCACTAAAAGGTCTTTCTGCCAGGGCGTTTAAAGGGATTGTGGTGTTATATTTTATGAATATTCTTTAAAAATACTAAAATCTCGACATTTATTTTTGAAAAAATTATTTAAAATTTGTTGAGTATCAAAACTTAAATCATTATTAACAATTATATTTGCTGCTGCTGAAAAAAATTGGTTATTAAATAATTTGTTTTTTTCACAGGTTATTTGTTTGCAATAGGTTGACCGATAAATCATCAACTAATATTTGTTTTAATTAGTTTTTTTACAGTGTTTGATGTCTTCTCTTTAAATTACAATTGTAAACGTTTATTTAGAATCTATATCCTTAAATGTTTTACAGTGTTGCAAGTTGAGGTAATGCTAACTGAAATTTTCGTATTTTTTGGTAGACATGACAAACATTTTGTTTTCTTTATTTTGAAATAGTATAAAATATGCTCTATAAATTGGCCATGGAAAAACAATATATAAACTTGTTGATGCTTCATTGATTATTACTTCTTTCTCTTCATCACTATTAATATTAATCTGAAATAAATTTTTAAAATTAGTAAAACAAAATAAAATTAACCAATTCCATTGAAAATAAAAATGACAGATTCCTTGAGATGCATTGTAATATCAAAATTTATCTGGTTTATTTATGCTCATATGAAATAAAATAAATTTTGCATTCAAGTATTTTTATTTATAAATTTGAAAAACTGATGTTTCTGTAATTTTATTAAATTTCATAAGTCTTTATTTTTCTGGACTACAAACCCTGAACCGGGTTACGAGATATATAACTAACCCATAATCCTTTGTTTAGGAAGGTTCACAAACTAAATTTTTTTTAGAATATTAAATAATTACTCACAACATTAAGATTAGAGTTATACCATTTACAATTATGTCAAATTGATGAAATATAAAATTATTGATTTAAATCAAATTAATTTTTATTGGCCCACCCTAATATATTGTTTTCTATTTCTAAACTTTATGATTTAATCAAAATTTTTGAGCTTTATTTTTTGAAAACTAGGGGAAGGAAGTATTATCAAGTTCGAGACATTTTTTTTATTATGTTCACAATTTATAAATTTAGAATAATTGTACAATTTTTTTTAAAGTAGATACAAATTAATATATTAATCATGCCTATATTCCATATTTTTTAAATATTATTTAGATATATCACTGAGGGTGGATGCAGTTAAAGAAGAAAATCTTAGATTAAAGTCGGAAAACCAAGTATTAGGACAATATATTGAGAATTTAATGGCGGCAAGCAGTGTTTTTCAATCTACTTTTCAGAATGATAAAAAGGCTATTATTCATAATTAAAAAATAATACTTTTATCATGTAATATTAAATATACTTTATATTCTGAATTATGAAACGCCTTAATTTTTATTAGTGTATTGTATTAGAAATCGTCAATGTCTTCCCATAATAAATATGCATTTATTAAGTTTGTAAATTTTTTAAATTTCCCGAAAATAAAATAGGGACAAAAATTTGGATAAAATGGCGCAATCCTTGTATTATTTTTTTAAATTAATTTAGGTATTTAATAAACATAAATACTTTAAAAAAATAAGATAATGAGTGACATCAAAGTAGCCTTTTATATTTTTTTTATCAAAATTAAAACTAAAAAATGTGATTCGAATTTTAAATAACAAGTTAGTTTAGCATATTTGAACAAATTTTCACAAAATATTGGTAATTTATATTTTTAGTTTATTTTTTTCATTACTACATAGCCCAAACTATATTATATTTTAAGTAAATATTGCTAATTACCGTCTCAGAAACAACTTCAAATCTTTATCTATAAAAAATTCTTTTTTTTTTCTACGAATTCCTATATAAAATTCTTTTTTTCTACGAATTTTAATTCTTAATATTTTTCAACTTTCTAAGTTAATTCTAAAAGGATGAGAAAATAGTAAATATGAAGTGAATTGGCAAGGCAAAGAAAACATTCAATTTTGAAAATTATTTACCAGAATTATGTGGATATTAGATAACTAACAAATTCAATTAAATTCGAGCCCTTTTTAATTCAACAAAATATATTATAAATATTCTAAAGCCAGTTAAAAATGAAAAGACATTTATTCATAACCAATAGATTAGTTAGAAATTTGGACTTTTCAACTTCAAGGGTTATGTTTTAAAAGGTTCGGTGAAAAGTCAATCTGGTTCAAAATACAGAAAAATAATAGCATCAAATTTTCTAAATTTCAATATGAAAAATTGATTAACATTTTGGTAATATGTTTCTCACGTTTTTTTAAATATTCTATTTAATTTTAAGCAAATGATATATTGTTTTTATTAAATAAATATTTTTAATTAAAAAAATTTTTTAAATTTGTTTATTTCCTTTTCCAGCCTTGGCGACAATATTTTTTAGCATTTTGTTTCTTTTTTTCGTATTTTGGAGTTTTGGTTTCTCTTTTTTCGCGTTTTTCATCCTTTACAGCCTGTTTTCGTTCCTAATAAATAATTTATGTTCAAATATTTTTTTAAAGAAACCCAAAAAATAGAATATAACCCACTAAAATAGTTGGATAAAAATATTATAAAAAAAGACAATTTAGAAAAAAGGTTAAATACCTTTTTACTATTCGGGGATTCGTCTCTATCACGTTGATATTTAACATATTTTTGTTTCATCATAACATTGTCAGACTTAATAGTTAAATGGCTATGACTGGATGTAGAGTCTTCATTAGCGGTTACGGATTCAGAGTCGGAATCTAAAAAAATATATCGATCGAATTAAAACTAGAAGACGCAACCTTAAATAGTTCAGGATGCTTTTCTCTATCCAGAACGAGATCCCCGGTTAGAAGGTCATTAGTAGAATGTATGTGCATTTAAAATTTATCAAATTCCTAATAAATAAGCTAAACCTAAATGCCCAATTTCAAAATCTTCATATCAGACCCTTGGAGATTTTTTGCTAGGGTTGCTTAGCTTGCTCGTATTTTATTTGGTACATTTTTCGGATAGTTAATTTTTATAAGGTTTTGTCTGGCCAGTGCAGATTTATTATTGAAATAGTTATTAAAACTATTAGATTATTTTAAGAGTATAATTATAAGACAATTTTTATAATAAAAATTACAATCCTCCAGAAAATAAATCCAAATTTCATGAATCATAAAAAATACCGATATTCTAGCATGGGCTCGCAGAGAAGTAGCCCCATGCTAAAAACTTATTTAAACTTGGTTGTTGGTTATATATAATAGGATTTCATATTTGGACAATGGTTTAACCCTTCAATCTCTGGTGAGGTATATGAAACCCCAGGAATGCTAGAAATGATATTACTTAAAAACGATTAAATATTATGATCTGGATTCTTCAGTAGCTTCATCAAATATATCTTAGAATCTATATTCCAAATTTCATAAATTTTGGTTGAGTAATTTTTAAGATATAAGCATTTTGTGACTGATTGAGGTTTGTGAGACCCCACCAGAGTAAATTAGTAATATTTTAAGAAAATTTTTTATAATTATAAATATATACTACTATATTATAAAAATTTATTAAAACAAAATTTAAAAATCTTATATTTTGTATGAGATATATGAAAAAGAAAACGTAAAGATTTTCTCTGATGGAGTTATTTTATTATTATTTTTCACGGCTGACTCATTTCTCAAATTATTTTTATCATTTATAATGATTTTTGCAGATTCTGAAACTAAATATATAATTATTTAAGATATAATGTAATTTTATTTGAGGTGATTATGACAATATAATTAATAGTGAGGATGAAGATTTTATATATGATAGTGATCATGATACACAATCTGAATTAGATGAAGAAATGTTAGTTGAAGACAATAAACTTAATATTATTTCGATAAATTAAAAATCATTTATCATAGTATATTTCTCTTTAAAATTAGCTAAAAAAATAAGTTTACTAAATGGAAAAAGGATCTTCCTAATCAAAGAATAAAAACTCATCAATAAAATTTAGTTATTTACCTGCCAGGAGTAAAAGAATAAGGGAAAAAAGCTGACACCATAGAAAAATGTTTTGACTTATTCAACAGAAAAATGATTGGAAATTATTTATCATACCAATGAAAAAATTAAAATTATATGTAAAAACTATATTGACCAATATAAAAGTTCTACTAAGGAAGTTGATGTAACACAATTCAAGACATTATTGGGAAATCTTTATTTAGCTGGAATTTTTAAATCTAACCATCAAAATAAAAAAAACAAAATATTCTTTTTCACATATGTAAAATAAATTTATGTTTAGAACACATTAATATTTTATGTAATAAATGTTTTGCATGTCAAATTTAACATATTTCAATGTTCTATATTTTTTTTATGTTTTAGTGTAATTTTTTTTATATTGAAGAATAAAGATCCATATTATGAATTATCATGATTATATGATAGATAAGTTAATTTTTTAATTTAATATTTGAAATATAAAAAAAGTAAGCTTTTTTTAAAAAATTTTGCCACAAATTATAATTATCCTCATCATCTTTAATCTACTTTTAAGAAATAAAAATAAATAAATATTTTATCAAGTTTAAGATTAGTTCTATCTTATTTCCAAATATTAAATAAAAATAATGAATATAATTGGAGATATATAAATTTGAAATTGGGGTCTATTCAAGCCCACCAGAGTACTAACGTCATTTTTTTACTTGAGTAATGAAGGATTAATGTGGGTTAGAGTTTTGTTCTAAGAGTATAATCCTAAATTTGATATTTTCTAAATTATTTTCTCTAGACAACATTAGGCTTTACATTTAGTATATTCCCACATCAGGCATTGGTATAAATGTGAAATTCTATTAACAACCAATAAATTATTTTTCAAAATGGAGCTATTTAACAAATAGTGCCTGTAATCATATGGAAATATAATTTTGAAAATGGCATCATTTTATAATATCATTTGAATGCCTTATTTGATCAAACTATTAGGTATTAATGAATTAATTTGAATAACGATTTTTAATCTAATGAATGTTATTAGAATTAAATTATATAGAAATGTTTTGCATATAGGGTTAAACTTAACCCCTATATTATTTAGTGTCAAGTTCTAGGCTTTAATATCTATTTTAAAAATTTTGGGACTATTTAGAAGAATAATAGAGTCCTGCATTAAAAATTGTCAAATAGATCAAATCAGTCCTATCTAAAAATAAATTGAAAAAGGCTTAATTAATGAACTTTTGAAGTATATTTCAAGGAAAGCAAAAGTGAAAAAAAACATTAAAGAGTGAAAAGATTTTGCCGAGATGTCCAAGTCTGGCCAGAATCAAAATCCAAAAATCAAGATCTGGCCTGACCTAGTCCTAGTAAAAGCTACCCGAGTCCAAAATAAATAAGTTTAGTTGAATTGGGATAGGATAGATTTGTGCATATAAAAATTAATTTAGGTATTAAACCTGCTGTATAAGTCGAGTTATTTCGTTCTGATTCGCCAACATCAATGATATCAAAATCATTTTGATTCTTATTATCAGTTGTTAAAAAACCGGGTTCATCATTTTGAATGCTTAAATCTTTAAGAGATATTAATGCTTGGGGTACTCGTGAATCCTTTTTTATATACTATTATACATTATATTTAAAAATTAACTATGTATTTTTTCAAATTATAAATTATAAAATACAATAAATTTTATAAATATTTTTAAAAAATTTATTTTTTACAAAATGTCATAAAAAAATTTGAAAAAAAAAATGAGACCTTGTAGGGCTGAGAATCAAACAAAAGAGCATGTTTTTTAAAAATCAACTTTCTATTTTGAATTATTCAAAAATATTAAACTTTTCACTAAATGAATGTAAATAATTGGTAATATTGAAGTTTAAACTACTTTAAAAATATCGCCTGCCAATATAATAAATTTTATTTGCTATTCTAATTAAAGTCCTGTAGGGCTGGCCATAACATCATCTATCAAATATTGGCCTAACCCATAGCTCGTAAATATAAATTACATTTATATTTAGCATTTTAGGTTTTACCCTAATTGAATATAATTATTAAAAAATGAATTAAGATAAACAAGAAAATTTTTTTAAAAAATAATGATGGAGCCGAATGTCAAGAAATAGTCAAATAATTATTTCCTAAAACAATTTGTTCAGCCTGCAGTGTTTTCAAATGTTGGTCACATTTTTGAACAAACAATCTAAATTTATTTCTACATCATAATTTGTTTTTTTTAACAAGTGTTCGAAAAAGGGCATCACGCGACTAAAAAAACCTATAAATCAGTTTCATTTAATTTACTAAAGGTTTTATTTTCATATAATATTTTGTAATAGGATAAAATAAGTAACCTCATTAAATTTTTTGAGTAGTTGTGTAATATTTAAATTTAAGGCATAACAATTATGATAGAGAAAGAATTAGAGAATTAAATAATATTTTAGGTTTGAAATAATTTATTATTCTTAAGTCTATCCCAACAGACCTAAATTTTGCAGAAGAAACCTAATTTTTATGGATAAAATAAAAATTGAAGTTATTTTGTTTTTGAAAATAATTTGTTGTTTTGGGTTTAAAATTAATTCATTTTCGTTTCCCAACCCTACTGGTAGTTAACTACGAAAACATAATAAATAAAATTACCAATTTGTAATCTCCGTTTTCAATACCACTGATCCTACAATAATATAGCTAGAAGTTCATATAAAAAAATGGATATAATGAATATTTCAAAAAAATCTAATTTCTAACCCCATGGTAATTTTAATGTTAAAAATATTATTTAATTTATAAAATCTTTAAAAAAGAGCTTATACTTCTTTTGTTAATCCAGCTGTCAAATTGTCAAAATCTTTCTCGTGGTCAATAATTTCATCCAATTTTCTGGGAATAAATGCTTGTTTAAATACCTTAAATAAAAATTAATTAAAGTTGGCGTAAAATTTATAAGGCAAGAGCTTTTTATTAGCAATATAATTTTTTAAAAATGGGAAATAGTGAACTTGATTAACTATTTCTTATATAATTTAATAATGTAATAAGAAATGCTTAAATAAGACGATGAATCAAATTACCTCTTCATCTATTTGATTATTTATGGATGTGCCGTTTTGGGTGGATATGTAATGATTGGGTAAATCGATTATGTCTAAATATTCATATCTATTTTGTAAATTTATAGCTGGATCCGTTATAAAATCGAAAAGTTGTCTCACTGTCATAACGTTTACATTGTTTTTGTGAAAATATTCTTGAAATTGAAATATTTTAAAATAATAAAATTTACACATATTATAATAAATTTATTCATTAATAACACTGTGTGACAAGAAAAATGGAAGAAGAAAATAAAAACAAGTTTTGGTGCAGAATTTGACGCTGAGTTCGAATCCGTTTTCCAAATTTTCCCTACACGTCAAGTTTTAAAAATATTACAGTATAAAGACACCTTTTTGAAATCTCAAAAATGGTAAAATTTAGGTCTTTATACGGATATATTTTAAAAAGTATCGAATAAAAATCCCTGAAAATTGGTGATAGTGTTAAACCTATATTTCTTTATAAATAGACCAAACAGAGACCGATTTATGGATAATTCATTAAATCCGAAGTAATATGCGCTGCAGACTTTATCTATTGGTTTTTGAGAAAAATGGTAAAGAATTTCGTTTTGGGAGTCTTAAATTTTCAATTTAAAATACTATCAAAATTATTAACTTTAGAAGATAAATTTTATATAATTTTGCTTCAAATATGCTCAAGATTATATATTAATTCTAATTATGTTTCAAAAGTACTCTATCCCTGAAAATTCAACCAAAATCTATAAATTAAAAAAGTTGGTACAGATATTTTCGAACTTTTTAATTTGTACACTTTTATTAAATTTTCTCTGCATAAAGCATTTTTAAAGCAAAATTAAGGTAATATTTATCTTTTTTAGTTGTATTTAGTAATATTTTATGCATTTATGTTCAATTTATACCAAAATCAGATATCTGTACCCACTTTTTTAATTTGTAATCTTTTTGAATTGAGCCTTTTTGAGCAAAATTCATTTAAATGCAATAATTGGTAATTTTTTCATATTTTTTTTTAATATTTATCTTTTTAGATGTATTTAAGAATATTTGTTTTTTTAATCAATTTATATCAAAATATATGATTTTCCAATGGAGTACCTTGAACCCGTAGTATGGGCAATAAATAATAATACCAAATAACAAGTAGGAAGAAAGGAGAAGAATTATTTTTTTTCGCGCTTAATTTTCATAAACATTTAATTTCTTTCATTAATTTTTTTTTAAATTGGATTTTAAATATTATTCAAATTCCCTCCTTATATAATATTCTACAAAAAATTAATGCCGAGGTCCCCTTGTTTAAAATGTGTCTCTAAATTTTGTTACATCTCTGCGAGCTATATATTGACCACACAAAAATGTCCAATTTCTCCAATCATTCAAAGGATTTATGGAATTTATTACAATATTCCACTCTACAATTTGATAAACCATTTGCCCCTAATTACATATTTAAAACATGTTATAATTCTTTTAATTCATAGGTAAATGGAAAACGGTCATATTTGCCTTATTCGAAACCTGCATTTTGGCACGTAGCAAGAAATCATTGTGGGATTGTTATTTTTGCTCGATTAGTACATTTGGGTTTAACAAAAAAATAAGAAGAAAATTCGTTATCCTGAAATTTTGTCGGTTGTTTATCCGGTAAAATATAATATGCATACAACAGTTCCTTTTTTTAATAGTTCGCAACTGGAAACATAAATGACAACCAGAAATTTACAACTTTCAAAAAGAAAGTCCGAATTTTTAGCCTCAAGGCTTTATGATTTTAAAATTTAAAAAAATGGAGTTCGAACTTCATACTGATTCGGTGGAGCATCGTTTAAAAATTTATTCTCTTACGAAAATTTTTTATACTATTCCAACAATCTAGGTCAACTTTTTTTACAACTTAATATTGAATTGGTGCCCGATGAATGGCGCTTGTTCATCTATTCAAGCAAAAACAGCTTGAAAGCAGTTTTGTTTCATAACGGAAATTTTAAGCCATCAATTCCCATCGCCTATTCCAACCAGTTTAATGAATCATATGAAAATATGAAATATTTATTGTCAAAAATAAATTATTCCATTTACGAATTTAAGATACGATCTCAAATGATCGCAATCCAGACGAAAGTAAAATATGAGTAGGTTAGCTTAGCATAATATATTTATTTAAATATGAGAAATATAACTATTTCATTTAAAATAAATTGTTTGGGAATCGTACCGTGCGCAGTTAGCGAAGAGAACGAAAGCCACAATAAATAAATATATTAAGTGTAAGCTATATTAAAAAAAGATTTTATAAATAAAGGTAAATTTAAAAAATATAAGTTGTTTAAAAATTGAGTAATGATTTTATAAAAAAAAAATGTATAATAATAATAAGGGTTTGCTGCAAAAATTAAGATAATTTTTTAGTTGTAGGGATCATTGGAACCGAAGTTATAAACCTTCAAAAAGGCTAAAAATGACTTTTTGGCCACTTTAACCTAAAATAAATTAAAAAAACCTGACGTGCTAAAAAAAACTGACAGCGGATTTAGAATATGCATAAAAAACTGTCTTAAAACATCTGTATTTTTTTTTCTCCCATAAAATCAAGTCGAAATTTGTCACACAGTGTAATACAAGTTTGTTAATAACAATAAGGCTTGAAAATGATATTTCAGTGAATTTTTGAAACAAATAACGGTGAAATTGCAAGATTTCGAATGTGGGTTTTTTTAAATAAATTGCAAATGGTTTCGTTTAATAACATTTTTGTTTCATGATTTATTTCTAAAATAAATTGACCCACCCCATAAAAAATAATGGCTTGCCAAAAAGAAATCTGTGCTTCAAAAAGAAGTTTCATAAGAAACCAAATTTACAAATAAGCAAAAGAATCAAAAATGTTCAAAATATAATAAATTTAAATCGAGAGTAAAACAAGCAACGACTTTCGGAAGAATTACTGAGAAGAAATAAACTGGGCGATTTGGGCACGTTGGACGAAAACGAAAAATTATTGGGCTACGATATGTACCATGTTGGAAGCAATGAATGGGCCTTATAAATAGCGACGTGACCGTAAAAAGTGGAGAAAAGGGATCAAAGGGGAAACTACTGGCCTACTCGAATAAACCTGAAAGCCAGCCAATAAATGATAAAGAATAACAGTTTTTTAAATCCATGAAATTGATTCATAAAAATCTTAAATTTCCTTCACTGCTAAAAAAATTGACCAGCAATTTATATTTTTGGTGCAAAATATTTTTAATAATGGAAATAATATGTAAAATCTCTTTAAATTTAAATAAATTTGTTAATGAAAACGAGTTATATTGGTGATGTCTTTCCTCAAGAAATCGAAGGCCCTGGGATGATCCCATTCAACTGATTGGGAAACATCTATAACATACAATTCATCATCATGGCAGATTAGATTAAATTCACTGAGATCGGCATGTACCAGTTTGCATAATCTATATAGGTCCCAAAGCAATACCACACTCTTGAGATATAGGGTGCAAGCCAGGTTAGCTTATATTTAAAAAAAATATTATACTGATTTTTATATCATTGTTTATGAATAATGGTGAAAGAAACAGATAAAAAAAAGGTGAATGATGTAAATAATATTAATATATATCAAAATATATAATTGTACCATCTAAAGAAATATCCTTCATAAGTGGAGAAGGCCATCCATCTTTGCCTAAAAATCGCATAACTAGTACATGTCCTTTTAATAATAAAGGTTCAGGACATTTTATACCAGCTTTGTGTATCCTTTAATAATATAATTCATCATATAATAATATCATAAAATGTGTTTCTTAAATTATATATAGTTAATTAGTGAGGTTTGGCTTAGATAAATATTATATTATAGTTTGCAGAGCAAGCCCATGACCCAAAACATGATGAATAACATGCCCCCTCCCCCACATTTTATATTTCTTTCTTATTCTTATCTTTTTTCCCTTGTAAAAAATTAGGAAATGGGACTGATGATAAATATTTTTTTTAAATTTAATTATAATTTTTTTTAGAATTTCACAATTTTTCCAAATAATTTTTTATATGGGCATACTGATACCATTTTTTTAGAGGCTGATCCGAGACAATATTAAATTAATATCAGTCATATAATTTACTATACCATAACATAAATTATTTATTATATATTATAATGATCAGTTATAGTTTCAATTCATGAATCTAAAAGTATATAAAAAATTTTTATTGACAAATCACTTATTTATATAATAAAATTTGAAATAAATTTTAAATTAATAATTAAAATGGATTTTGATCTTATTTATAAAAATAAATAATTTTCTTAGATATACGTTTTTTTTTAATTTTATATCCTATTTTTAAATAAATTACAATTTTTCAAAAATTAAGAAGCCATTTTATTGGATTGGAAAATTTTATAATATCAACCGATACCCAATATTTTTTTAAAAAAAAGTGAAATTGGCCTGATCCAATGAACAATATTGATATATCCTTAATTTTTTATATTAAAAATGAAAAAAGAAAGATGTAAAGTAAATAAATATACCATCATTTGTTTCCTAATTTACTACAAGATGCACATATAAAAAACAAATCATAATTATTAAAAAAATTTAAAAAATATAGCACATATAAGATTAAATTTTAAAAAAAACAGTTATATTCAAAAAGGAGATGGGTTTACTTGCATTGCTATATAGAACCATGAATGTTACAATAAGACAAATTTATAAAATAATTTGAGTGAAATATTTTTTAAAAGAATCTATAAATTCAATATTAATTATAATTCATGTTCATATATTATTTTTTATTTTCCATCTAAAAAATTTGAATAAAATCTTTTTTTTAGATCATAAAATTTCTTACCCTTAAAAACAAGATTTAATACTATTATCAATAAAAAAAATCAATAGAATTTTAATTTATTATAAATTTTTCCATGATTTTTAAGCTAGCTTGGGCCAATTTGCAGATTTTTATTATAAATATTGAAATTAGGATAAAATACCGCAACAAATTTCTCATTTCTTTTTCAGCCCAAGTTTTAACCATTTTGCGTGGATTATGCCTACAATAACCTTGTCTAAATCTAAATTCACCAGTTACATATCTATCTCGGTCTTTAAAAATCAAGATTGAAGTTTTGTAAATCTAAATTATAGCATATTTTTAGATTATGAAATTATAATTTTAAATAACTAGTAAGCTAATTTTATTAAAATATTTCATAATAATCGAAATTATAAATAAATGAATTACTTTTATTGCTGCCTGCAAATTATTCGGACCTAATGCATGATAGACATTTGCTTCCTTGCCAGTGCTTATGCAACCATTAATGGATAGAATAACTCCAGAATTAAGTAGTCTAAACAATATCATTCTCGTCCTAGGATCCATTACTTGTTCAATAGTAGCTCTATCACGTTTATCTTTAACTTTAAATCTTACAAAATTATATAAAAAGTAATTTAATTACCTTTGATTATCAATTTTCTTTCCCTTTTCTTTTAAGGAATTGAGCACATTATTCTGTAATTTGCCCATTCCACCTGTATATGAATGCACATTGATTTTGCTTGAAAATTTTTTTAATTTTTCCATGTGAGATATAGTATATTTTTGATCAGTATAACTGATACGATTATTTTGAATTTGAAAATCAACTATATCATCTATTTTATTTTATAGGTCAGAAGTTAATATAACATACCGTAATTATCATCTTCCCAATCAGGATCTTCTTCTTTGCAAATTTTGTTTATAATCATATGAACGAAAAGGTGTATGAATGAATAAATATTAAATTAATTGTTAAAAGAAAACATATTTTTTTAAAATATTTTTAATATTATAAATATTATAAAATACGGTTTATTTGATAAAAAATCTTCAAATTATCGGTGATTCCATAGAGGCAAGGAAGCATTGCTTCCTTTGAAATTTTTCCCATAAAATTCTTAAATAGACTTAATATAATCTTTATAATATGTTAAAAAAAACTGTTAAAAAAATTATTATAAATTTTATAACGTTAAAAATATTAATATTATTTTTACTAGGTTAAGAAGAATTACTATTATATTTACTACGTTAAAAAAAGTTCTATTATATTTACTACGTTAAAAAAAAATATACATGAGGGAAGCAAATTTTTGCTAATAAATAAAGAGAAAATCATGCTAATTTAATTGTGTAATTTTACATTTAAAAAATAAGCATTGGGGGGGGGGGGAGCAAATAAATAAATGCCTTTTGTCTTGATAAATAGTAGAGAAATTTTTATATTAAATTTTTTTCCTAACTTTTTTTAAATAAAAATTTTTTTCTTTTTTTGAAGCAATAATTGTAATTATATTATTGAAAATTTATTACGATGATCAAGGTTGTATAAAAGGTATTTATATCTATATATTTCTGAGGATCTGTATCTATTTATAGATATTTCTCAGATACATTTTGATATACTTTTATTTAACACTTTTTTATTAAAAAATAAAATTTTTAAGTGCAAATTTTATTTCAAATGTATGAGGATATAATTTAAATAAATATATATTATAAAAATATTAAGACTAAAATATATATATAGTATTAAAACTTATACATAAAAAGAGATATAAATATTATTTTTTTCTCATTTATATCTATAGATATTAGTTCAAGATTGTGTAGGATATTTTTATCATGCAAAGGAATTTATAATGTCTAACTATTACGCCCATTAATTATAAACAATACCATTGATGCACAAAATTATTTAAATAAATAAATTTATTTAGTATTTTGTAAAATAATTTTATAGATATTCCGCTAACTTTTAAAAAATAAATTATAAGTTTAAATGTAAAAAAAATTTTTTAATTTTAAATCTATTTTTGATTTCGATGGGAAAAAACTTATTAAAAAATTTAAAATCTAGCAACTTTTATATTTCACTACTTATTTTTATTCATTTTACTCAAAAACTTTAATTTTTTTATGGTTTGACTATTAAATAAAAAAAAAATTTAATTGCCTCCCTAGTAGTAAACTTGACGCTTCGTTACTGAAATTTATTTAATATATTTTTATCATAAAAATATATTTAAACATTACACCATAATCTTTAATTCAAAATTGTATATTTTCTTTATTGTCCAAACAAGCGGAATAATAAGAATTTCCAACAAAAATTGTATTTCACAAATATAAATTAAGAATAAAGAATACAAAATGTTATCTATTTTTTATGAGAAATCAATTGATAAAATGTCCATAAATGTCAATTATATATCAACAGATACAACAATTTTGAAAATATAAATAATGTAAAATACAATTTGAGAATCAAAAAACATAATTTTGGTCTACAAAATAAATTACTTAATTAGGTAAAGAAAATAAAAGGTGATAAAATATACAGTAAGGACTGTTTTGATAGATCTAACCATCAACATCAGAGCTTCACAAATTTAAAATATTCTCTACTGCACATTTACAAATTCTAAGTTCGAGGGATCGATCACATATATTTTCTATAACCCTTTACTAGATTTTGCCACAAGGTTACATTTAACAATTTACGCTTAGCTCTAGGTTATATTAGTTTTAAAATTAACAGGTATGTGTACTTTTTCAATATAATTATTTTATAGCATTTATACTAAACATATATTATCGGCGAGTAGTGGATTATGAATTTTAAATTCAGGAAGAGGTCCATTTTTAGCTATATTTTTATATATCACAGATATTGCAATTTTTGGAATACTTTTAATTCCACAAAAAAAAAATAAGCCTATTTTAGTTACAAGCACACTCCAACGTTTTCCTTATTTGGGCTTACTTTGAATTCTAAAAATTTTTATACTATCATTCAATTCTAGATAAAATAATTTTATCACCCAATGCTGCTTGATTGTTATAGGGTTTTATGTCTATTTTTGGTCGAAATATTATTCTTAGGAATACCCTCAACTCCTTTAATAAATTAATTATAAATATGTTTTTTATATAAAAAAAAATATTTTATCATCTTTTGGCCTCATTTTATTTATTATATCTAATCTTTAACTTATTCTTAAAAATTATATTTTTTTAAATTTATAAAAGAATAAGGTCATAAAAAAATGTACAAGATTAAAGACAATGAGTTACTATCATTGCTCTCACTATTGAAGAAATATTCCGATTCGAAGTTCTTGATCCCACCAATGCTTATTTTAAAAACTTTGTGTTGCAATTATGAGTATTATGATAGAGAGAGATAAGGTGATTGATGTTGAAGAGTGTTGTGAATTTTTTTTTAATGAATAACGTTTTTTGTTTACTATGATAGAAGGAAAAAGGACAAAAAGTATATTTTTGATTATTGATAAAAAGTTTTTGATTTAATTGTAAATAAAATAATCACTTTTTATATGAAAGTTTTGGATTTTTGTAAATTAAATATAATTATATTTTTTTATATAAAACTTTTGGATTTAATTGTAAAATGAATAAAATAATTATATTTTTTATACGAAAGTTTTGGATGGATTTAATTTTAAATTGAGTAAAGAAATTATTATTTTTGTAAGAATTATCATATTAGAATTCTGCCCGTTGAACCATAAATTCACATTTTATTCTAACTAAATTATAATAATTTGCTACCGAAACCCAATTACGGACATACAAAAAGGAGAGTAAGATAGAGACCTTTAGATTTTTCAAATTTTATTAAATATTTTTATAAAGAAAAATTAATAAATATTTATTATAAGTATATTTTATTGTTATATAAATAATTTGAAGATTTTATTAATTATGGTGTTAATGAACTCGTTATAAAATATATAAGATGTATTTGTTAAAAAATAATTTCCTTGAGGAATATTTAATTATTATATGTATGGTATTGGTAATAATTTTAATGGTTTTCGTTTGTGGTAGATGGATGGGCCAAACAGTAATTCAGGTTACCTTTGATCGGGATGTTATAGAAAATATTAAGAAAGAGATAATGAGTAATAGGGAAAGTAGGAAGTAATGAAAGGACAGGGGCAATTATATGTTATAATTGTGGTCAGGGTCATATTCCACGGATGTGTGGTAATACACCTTTAAATTGTGTAAGATGTGGTCGATGGGGGGCATTTAGAAATAAATTGTAGAGCCATAAAATGTGTTATAAGTTTGGTCACTTAGAAGATAAATGTCTTGTAAATACGAATAAATGACTAGATAATAATAAAATTAATAGTTATAGATTATTAAGTAGTAATATAAATAAATTGACAATATGTAATAATAAATTTAGTAGTAGCGATAATTTAAAATTGTAATAATATAAATTTAAATAAATGTAATAATAATATAAACAGGATAGATTTTGAGGAGCTAGAGGATAAGTGTCCTAGAGTTGAGGTCATGTTATTAGGATGTAGAGTCAAATTTTTGTTAGATACGGGTTCAGTAACCAGTGTCATAAGTGTTAAGCAATTCAATAAGATTTGGCCTGAGAATACATTAACAAAGGAAAAGATGAAGGTGACTCAGTTTGATGGGTCTATAATAATAATTTTGGGATTTTATGTAAAAGAAGTTCCAAGTATCAATAGTAGTATTAAATTATGGTTGACCACCTAAAAACTGAACCGATATTAGGATTGGATAATATTAAGATTTTAGGTCCAAGTAATGCATGGTGGAATTTATTTAAGGTCAAAAAAGTAAAGAGAAGTTTTGTGAAAATTCTGTTAATAAAGAAAATAATAGTGGTAATATTATTAAGGAATATGTTAACGATGAACATTTTAAAAATCGTAGGGACAGGGAAGAAGAGAGAAATAATTTTTAATATTAGGAAAAAATATGTTGACGATGAAGATGTTAAAAAATCGTATTAATAAGGAGGAGAATAAATATAAGACAATTAATGAAATATATAAAATAAATGTGAAGGATTTTAATATTAATGGTTTTCCGAGATATACGTGTGCACATAAATTGTATAAGGATAATAATCGAAGTAATATGAAAGTAGAGGATGAGGTTAAAATTAGTAATAAGGGTATAGAAGTAAAAAAAGATTTTGTATGTTCGGAATTGAAGAAGGTACTAAATAATAATAATTTTAGTATGCCCGATAATGAAACTTTTGCCATGGAAACGTTTAAGAAAGATACCTTATTTCAATTCTCAGGACAATAGACGAGGAAAAATTCTTAAATATTGATGACAGAATAAAGGGCATATATGGTCAGTGACCCCTACAACGGGGGGGGGGGGGGTCCGAAGCAACTGCTTCTATAAATTTCTATGGGGGTACTTTTTTTTTTAATTTTTTTAATTTTTTATTTTAAAATTTTTTTAAAAAATTTTTTTTATTTTATTATTTTAAAAATTTTTATGGTCGATGTTTAGCAAATTAGTTTGTTATCCGATATTTCTTATCATAAAATTATTTTTCCACTTTCAAGATTTGGCGCAAAATTAAAATTTTATCAAAGGGAATAGTAAAAATTTAAATATTAAATCTTATATATAATCATTTATAATTTTTAGATCATTGTCAAAATATGCCCAAAAATATTAACCAAAAAAAATATAAATGCTTATACCGCAATCAAGCCTTCTGGGGGAACAGGCAACAAGATGGCAATATGATGAGCCTTATTAAACTTATTGCAGATTCTGAGCCTGTTCTTAAAATGTATATACAAGATAATGAAGAAAGAAGAAGTGAGAAAAAAATTAAGGGATTAAAATCTAAATTATATTCAAATCTGTTATCATATAATAACATAAATATTCTT